TGCTCCTAAATTAAAGTTAGGCGCTATTTATAAAAATTAATCTTCATGCGTGAACAGCCACCCTTTGAGGTGGATAATTTCCTTCAAAATGAAATGGGACCACTATGGAAGTACCCTCTTTCCAACAAAAAAAGAATCATGAAAATCGGTTCACAAATACCGGAGTTATCGCTATTTCTCCAATTCAAGGCGTTTTCCCCTCGATATACTTTGAGTAGTGTCGTAGTGAGAACCTATTTTTATTATCTCCAGTATCAAGTTCTGTATAGTGGCGAACTAGGGGATATTTCAATGAAACATAGCAAATAGACGTAATTCCACGTACTTTTGAGGTCGGTTTTTTTAGTACCCTGTACTGAGATTATTTAAATACTATCACAACAAATATTTTCGTCGTTCCAAATCGTGATTTTTCTGTCACTGGACATTCTTTAAAGTGCCCCATGTTGATATATTAAAAGGTAAAACCTTTTTCTGCGTACGTATACATTTATTAAAATAAACTTGTTTATACTGATGGTCCATTGAATGTCGTGTTAAATCATGTTTTCGGTATCACAGTTGAAGTTCCATTACGTAATACATTTTCCGTTCATAAACATGGCTAACGTTTCCAACAATATTACAAATAAGGAATTCTTAGAGTACCGGTTATATAACTAGGGATATTGATGAAATTACGGCAAGGTTAACCGAGACAGGGAATTTTCGGAATGTTGTAATACTTATACAACAGAAATTATGCAGTATGGATGGCCGCCCGCTATACTAACGACACGTGCTTTTAAAACCTATTCATCATAATGTAAGGCTCCATTTCCATTAACAATGTAATAACGGCACTGGTTGCGTAAAATAACGCCCGCTGCGGCAAGTGATGTTGTTTACACTGCGATCGTGTACTACGTTTGGCAAAACGCTATTTTCAATATGAAATACAATATTTTGTTACGTGACATCCAGACGATGTCTAATCTATGACAAAGATTTGTTATCAAGTAAACAATATTACATTTTTAATTAATTTATTGCGTGATTAGAATCAACGGTAGCTTCTCAATTGGGATTAATGATAACTAATGAACGAAAACATCGTGAAGTTACGTGGAGGTCGAAGAATGTTCACAGCCCTGGGCCAGCCTTTTTTTTTAACACCAAGTGATGGGACGACCAATTCGTGCGCCTGGTGGTTAGCAACAGGCCTATCCACAACAGTTGCAGTGCCACTCAGAGCTTTAAATCGCAAAGATCTTAGGGGCACTATCACCCTGAGACACAAGTTGACAAATCCCATGTCTGTCGTCCACCAATTATAAAAAAATATTTTTTGAGATATAAAAAGACCACGACACAGTTTTAGAATATTAAGATTGTTTAATGATATTTCAGCTATGCATCGTTAGGGTAAGCTCCGATAAGTCGAAGACGTTTAACTAATTTTAACTATTTATAAAAGAGAATTTTGTGCTCTATTTTTTTGCCATTCAAAACGGATATTTCACCATTTCTAAATTTACCAGTAATTTCACTAGCACCCTTCCCTTCCAAACGGGAACGCAGTGATGATCACATTATGGCTTGGCGGCAGTACATCCCTGGACGAACTCTTGGGAGCTCTACTACTATTAACGCCTGGCCAAATGACGACGTGATCAGAATATAGAGAAATCTGAATCGAATGAGGTTTCCTTTGCATACCACCTTACCTATTTCTGCCGCAAAGCAGTAATGTCGGCATTACTGTGTTCCGGTTTCGAACGGTAAAGGTGCTGGTGAAATTGGCAGGCACACGTGGCTTGTCAACTTATGTCCCATGGTGACCGGTGGACGTGCATTGCTCCTCAGATCTTTGCGATATAAAGCTCTGACTGACACTGCAACTGTTACGGACAGGCGTGTAGCTTACGTTACGTTGCGCAATTGATATTATAAAATAAAGTTATTCAAATATTCACTGCAATTGTGTAGTCTGATGTGCCGTTGTCCGTACAACAAACGTATGAAACCCGGAAGGGCGTAGCAATGTCTGGAGACAGAAACAGATCGGAATTTTAATCTAATACAATTCTTAAATCTAATTATTAATCTATTAATTTAATTAAATACCATAATTTGTAATCATTATAATATTCTTCTAAGGAGTAAAAACAATTATTTAGCAGATTTTGCTTTCAAAAAAAGGGGGAGGTTCTGAATTCGACTGCATTTCTTTAGTATATATATGTTACGAGATGACTCTGGCATTTGTGAACCGACCTGTAAAGGGCCCGAAACGCGGTTTGTTTCAAAAAACAAATATGCGCGATTTAAATCCGGAAAAATGGTTTCATTTCCTATGTGTAACCTAAGAACTCGATAGATGTAATTGTAACAAAAAAAACTGTGTTTTATTTAACAAAAAATTATTGAATTGATAGTTTAATGTATTACAAATTTTTATTGCAACTGTGAACTTGGGCAACTGCTATGTAGTTTCAGTGTTGATCCTGTCAGTAAAGCCAAATTATCTATAAATCGCGTCTTAAATTTGTTGGGATTATCTTACCCGTAGCAGTTTGTACTATTTATAGTACAAACCGCAGCACAAGTCTAACGGCATTCAAAGCCAATATACGGTCAACTCCGCAGCAGCGGATGAACCACTCAAAGTTTAAATTGTCTATATTTGCATGAAAATAGCCGAACCCAATAAATAGAAAGTTTATTATTACACAATGCGACAAACAGTACGCCCGGGTGAAGACATCCAGAAGTACTTTGAGTTTCGTTTATAAATATGTACTTAATAAAACTTTGCAACGATTGTTGTGGATTCTAATTCTCGGACTCGCGGTAGTGCAGAGCGAATAATGTCTTAAGCCAGACGCTGTAGGGTACATTTTTCAAAATAAACACTTTTACGTAATCGTCAAGCGTTTATGGTAATAATTTTAAAGTTAATATTGTCCCTCGATAGAATAGAACTGATGCGAGCAGAGATGGGCAGTGGATTAAAACCCAATCGATCTGGCCGGGTTTTAACCAATTTCTGCCAAAAATCATGACCTTTGATCACGGAGAGTGTGAGATGGAATCACACGATTCGGATTCGAATTACCTTCCCCTTTCCATCACCGGGGGAATAGACGTAGGCTTGGGTTCCACCCCCATGTTGTGGATATTCCAAAGATTTGCACGAAGCGTTACGCTGCCACATTTATATAGCGAACGGCTATGGAGTGAAATTCCCAGCCCGCTAACTTGTTCCCCGAACGTTATAACTTGCGCATTTTGAAGGCGAGAGTGACTTTCCATCAGGTGAGACGCAGGTCATATGCACACTTACATTTTATATTAAAAAAAAATGACCAGAAACATTATACGCGTAAAATTAATACGGAATCTAGTACAGTTCAATATTTATTGGAAGTTACGATGTAAAAAATCTTTTTTTAGACG